GGGGGGGGGGGTGGGGGGTGGGGGTTGTGAGGTTTAGGATGGAAACTGAGCGGTGGATTGTTGGAATTGTTTGTTTCGGAGTTGAGGAGTTCGAGACCATTTGCAAGTTCGGCAAGGGCCAGCCTCGTTCATTTTCAGTTCCTACCCGAACGGATTCCTAAAGCCCTGAACCCCTAATTCCTGAAAACACTGCAGCTAAACCCTAAACCGTGAAAGTCGAGGTATGGAGCTAGAGGTGTGAAGTGGTGGGTCGACATCCTCTTCCTCTTCCTCATCCTCCTCTGCATGAATATTAGACTGTTGATGATATAGATCCTGCATGTCCTTAAGGACCCTAAACTATGGGACTTATGGTATGTTCCCTATTCTGGGTAGTGCAGGAGTTATATCAGCAACCGTATCCCTTGCCAGCACCTTCCTGTCGTCACGACCTCCGGCCCACTGCTCCCCGCCTCATCGGCCCCGCCACAAACCCAAGAGCTCAAGGTTTTGGGTTCTGGGGTTTGGGGTCCCTATACCTTAAGACTTCAATCCAAGCCACACCCTAAACCCAAAACCACCCTGAAGCCTAAAGCCTAAATGGGTTCGAGGAGAAGTTCCCCTCTTCGGATTCCGGTATGTGATCTGGATCGCCTTCGAAGCCGTCCTCTTTGATGCAGACGTCTTCTTCCTGCAGTCTTTGCAGCTTTGCTCAGACGTCAGAGAAGGGGTGGGGGGGGGCTTGATATTTTCAGCTCTTGAGTCGTGCTCGGGTTTCCTTTGTTCTATACCCTAAACCCGTAAACCCCATAAACCCTCTAAACCTAAACCCCTATACCCCTCAACCCCCGCTAAACCCTAAACCGTGTCGGTTTGTGTTTGAGAGCTGAAGGGCCTGCCGATCTGCATGGATGGCAGAGACCACGCAATCCGAGTTCCTTTAAAGGCTTCCTTTGGGGGGTTCAGAGTTTAGGGTTTAGGGTTTAGGGGTTTAGGGTTTAGGGTTTAGGGCTCAGGTTTAGGGTTTAGGGGTTCCTTTGAGGGTTCTATCAGGGTCCCATAAGGGTTTAGGTTTGATTTAGGGTGTAGGATTTATAGGGGTTCCCTTATTACGGGTTCTAGACGGGTGCCACACGGGATCTAGGGTAGAAGGGTACATGCCCAAACCCTAAATCCTAAACGCTAAACCCTAAACCCTAAACCCAAACCCTAAACCCTAAACGTATTGCATCGCAAGCCCCAGACTCTGCGAATGCAGGTGCGGCACCACCTTCCTTGCAGTCTGGTACAGGCGGCCTTGCAGCGGGGAGGGTTTCGGAGTTTAGGGCCGTTTACGGTTTAGGGTTTAGGTTTAGGTTCAGGGTTTAGGGTTTAGGGTTTAGGGTTTAGGGGCAGGTGGATAGGGGAAACTCGGAACTTAGCTTGAACTATAGTGGAGTCCTAAATTCTGGTTCGAGCTTCTATTCCCCTCAGGGTAAGCCTCCAGAACCCAACACGGTTTAGGGGTTTAGGGAATAGCCTAGAATAGTACTACCCCGTAGGGTGCCCAATCTAATTATGGCACAATATACCCAGAAACCCCATCATTGAAAATAGTAAGGAGCTCTAACCCTAAACCCTAAACCCAAAGGCCCCCCCCCCCGCCAAAATAAAGGTACTAATCTCCACACCTTCGGGTCTCCTCATTTTCAAGTTCCCAAATCCCCAACTTTCTTGCCTTGGGCTAGGCGGTGAAAATTCCCAGGGTCTCTTAAGATGAGGGTCCCTGTCTTGCAGGTCCGTCCATTAAGGGCCATTACTTTAAGGGCCGATATCTTATCCATAATATCAAGGCCCCTACACATTAAGTTAATTCCTGAATCTTCCTTTACTAAGGAATATACCTTAAACCCTAAACCCTAAACCCTAAACCCTAAACCCTAAGCCTTCCTTCTGGTCGGAACTTCGCCTTTCCAGGCGCTGTGAGAGAAGTACTTGGGGCATGGGGCACAAGAGTGCACAGGCTCATAGGTGCTTTACCCACGACCCCCTCGACCCTTTCCCGCAATCCTAAACCCCTAAACCCTAAACCCTAAACCCTAAATCCTAAACCCTAAACCCACAACTAAACCCAAAAAGCCTCTTTGGAGGCTCATGGGCGCACGAGTGGGCAGCAACGTCTGCATCATGGGCTCCTCTGTGGGCTGCCGCTGGGCCATTTTGGTCTCTGTAGAGTTCCCTTAGTAGGGTTTAGGGTTTAGGGCTTAGGGTTTAGGGGGGTTTAGGGTTTAGGGTTATTTAGGGTCTCTGTAGAGTTCCTGTAAGGGTTTTGGGATGCCCGGGGTTCAGGGTTTGGGTTTAGAGGTTTAGGGTTTAGAGGTTTAGGGTTTAGGGTTTAGGACTTAGGGTTTAGGGTTTGGGGTTTAGGGTTTGGGGTTTAGGGACCCTCAACCCTAAACCCAGCCTCGATGCCTAAAGGGGCCTACTAGCTGGGAAAGGTTGCAAGAAGCCATGAGCTCTGTGGGACATTGTCTTGGTCTCCTGGTTGTCAGGGCCCTAAACCCGAGACCCTAAAAACCTAAACCCTAAACCCAAAACTCAAGGCTAAACCCTAAACCCTAAACCTGCCCTGATGTAGTGCAAGCCTGGATCATGCAGGCAAGGATCTCTAAACCCTGAACCCTAAACCCTAGGCGGCAGGGTGTGGGGTAGAAGCCTTCAGGCTTTTGGGTTTTGGGTGTAGCATTTAATAGGGGCCTTAATAATTAGAATAGGGTTTGGGGGCCCTTTATACTACAGTTATTTAATACGGAACCCCTAGAATAGTTTTGGGAGTTACTGAGGCCGCTACATTATTTTTTGGGGCTTGTGGATTCAGCGCCTGTTGTTTTGGGGAGTTGGGGCATGAGGCAGTATAAGTTTCCATTCCTGATCATCCGCAAGAAAGCCTGACGCATAGCGTAGAGTTTCTAGATAAATGGCAATAGCTCCCTTTACGGTCCCTATGAAAGTATGCTGCCTGATGCCCCAAGCCCA